CAGCGTAGCGTGGCCTGTGGCCGGCTGAGGGCAGCGCAGCGTGGCCTGTGACCGGGTGAGGGCAGGGCAGCGTGGCCTGTGGCCGTGTGAAGGCAGCACAGCGTGGCCTGTGGCCGGGTGAGGGCAGCGCAGTGTGGCCTGTGACCGGGTGAGGGCAGCGCAGCGTGGCCTGTGGCCAGGTGAGGGCAGCGTAGCGGCGCCTGTGGCCGGGCGAGGACAGCACAACGCGGCCTGCGGCCCGGTCGAACCGCGCGGGGAACAAGGATCGGGAGTGTGAGTTGGACCATAACACGGGCATGTGACTTTCGGGGATACATAATAACCACTGAACTTTGACTGTTTAAGAACCCAGCCCACGCTGCGACTTAAGACTTACTGAAGAGGTGGTGGCGGTACTCAAGCTCACTTAAGATGTCGGTTAAGTCACCTATTTCGCTCGGCACATTTTCTGAATCATTATGTCAGGATTTGATAATTTGGTTCATTTAACGACAACAAGTTGTTTGTTGATCTGAAAAACTTATCGAACAAAACATATCGAACAGAATGTGAAGTTCGGGTCGTCCGATCTGTCGTCAGCACATTTGTCAGCTGGACATCACGTGACATCACGCGTGCTGACGGTGTGTTCGATGTGTGGGCTGAAGGTAAAGTTTTTCAACTTCACTTTCCCTTCTTCCTTTTCCTTTTACTTCAGACCAAACATCAACTCTGGCTTACCGCCGACACACTACGTACGAAGTGGTGCTTCGAAGTGTGGCTTCTGCTCCGGTATTACCATCATCTTTCCCATCTGTACGTTGAGTGCTTTTTCCCATTTCCAATTCGTTTCAATTTCTTCCCTCTCATTCCAAGTGTTTGCTTGTAACGCTATATTAATTCATTGGGCGACACAGCCACACAACATACCAATCACTGTCACTCACTTTTTCCTGGCTACTCCTTGCATTTCATTTCCCTCCTCATTTGCCTCGCGTCGAATTTCCTCCAATATTAGAGACAAGTGCCCCCACACCACCTAACGTACTTGCCAACGCAAGAGCTACCAAATACAACTCCGGCTTCAGAGTGGTTTTTAATCTGGTAACGCTTTCCATGCTGACGGGCTGACAAAGGAAATCCTGGCACCATCGTCAGCTGCTACGTGACGTCACAGGCCACATAAATTTGTGGTCATGTGACGTAGGGCGAAAAATGGACCGTGACTGGTGCTGACAAACGTACTGACGACAGATCGAACGCGGCCTTCATTCGTTGTCTCGCGCGTCAAAACGTAAAAACAGCTCCCCGGAGGTCAGACTGCTAGTTTTCAGAATGCAACATTGCAACTGCCGATAGGATTCTAGGTGGAGCCCCCGGATCAACTGTCCTCAAAAGTGGAGACAGAGCAAAAGCAAAACAAAAAACGTCGTGATATGCATGATTGTCTTCTACGCATACGCGCGGGCGTACGTCATACACTTCCTCATCTCAATCAAAAAGCGTGTATCAGTGCTGTATTACTTCACTTGGTCTTGGTAAAAAGGTAAAATGGCGACACTCGGATCTGGGACTTCTGGGGGACTGAATACAGTTATAAAAACATCAGTAAAGATCACACCCAGAATTGGGGGCTGTCTGAGTCGTTCGTTTCGGGCGAGCTGATTTGCTACTGTGGATCTTTATCAGGTGTGTCACCAAGTCCCGTCAAAGAGCGTGGCGAGACAAGACAACTGCGGTCACACGGCTTGTATTTCACTTCAAGCCCCTGCATCCTGTTGTCTGATGGGGATATTACATGCCTTCAACAAGTATTGACTACATGGCTGTCCGGTATTCGCCCGACGTCAACACTCAATATTGAGAGGGTATACTGGTCTTGGTAATTGATCTTGTAGAGATGCTTGTCAATTTGAAAGGAGTGCTGTCGCACCTCAATGTATCTGCGTTCATAGTGACCCTGGACAAGCTGCATCCGACTCAAAATGGTCAATTTTGGAGGGGATACATCATCAAACCGGGTGACATTTCGTGCAGCCTTGCCAAAAAACGTTACCAGGGACTAGCCAACACTGACCTCTGTCAGAAAGTTTAGAGTACTTTTGGGTTTGTGCTCTTATCTCGGAAAGTCCATCCAGGGCTTCACTTCACTGGGCTAGCCGATTACTAGATTGACGGAGAAAAAGTTCCCCTTGTCTGCACCTCAGAGGCAGTGGCATCGCTTCAGATAATGAAAGCCAAATTAGTCGAAGCACCCATTCTGGCTGATCTCAGGTTCGAAAGCGACACCGCTCCGTCCGTCTGCGATACTGGCGCCAGCCGGATCGGTACTAAAGCGTGCCGGCTGGAGGACGGCCGAGTGATCGCCAACGAGAGTCATGCGCCGACAATGTCTGAGAGGTAGCATTCAGCCACTAAACTAGCAGTTGTGTGGGCCACACACACATCAGACACTTTCTAATGAGGTGGTATAACACGTTGCTGACTGATCACTCGGTCTCGCGGAGGCGGTCCGGGTTTCGCAAACAAAGCCAGTTGGTCCGATGGATGCACCAGTTGCCTGGGTTCAGTCTCCGCATTGTCCACAGGAAAGGGTTTCTCATGGAGACCGTGACACCCCGCCGGGCTACCCTCCCGTAACGGAGAGCGTTGGAACTGCGGACAGATAGGTAAGCGTCCCGCTGTGGTCAGAGGACGCTTGTGCTCAGCCATAAGCTGACTTCGGTGCTGATGCAGAGGGCAGCACAGGGCCGGATATTTCCGGTTTAGAGGACGCTGCTGCACCTCGGATGGTCCGAGCATTGGGGACAGTAGGACCACTGCATGGCATGGCATGCTCTGTGTTGTCGCCTCTGAGACTAAGACTGGCCCCTCCGGACCCGAGATGGTCCCTCTGCGCTAAGATGGCCGTTCCGGGCCCTTTGCATTTGCTTTGGAAACACGACAAACGAATTATTTTCGCAAAGCCGAGGGCTCCCGCTGATCTTTTTGAAACCACATGGGGAGGGGACAAAAGATAGGCATTTCCCACCCACCTCAAAAGATCGGGAAAGACAGTCTGATCACCGTCCACTCCCCCCCCCCCCCCCCTCCCCGGATTCGAAACCACCGATTCAGTTCATGTATTTGGTGTTAAGGAAAAATGTACAATTTTAACGACCTGCTCGAAACCGTTTCGAACATTAGGAATGAACAAGATGTCGGCATGATTTGTAAACACACCGGAGCGCAATGCCACGCCGTCCGAGCCTCTCTCCACGAGTTCTGTTTCAGCTACGCTCCATGCCCATGCAGCACTCATTTTATGGACGCCCTCAATTCTAAGCATTTCAACCGAATTTCCCGCACGGCGTGGACATAGTATCGTGATAGTTTTAGACCAAGGTGGTGCTTTTGCAATTGACTGCACTTAAAACAGGCAGAAGAGAGGACGGACACACTCACACAGTCAACACATACCCTGACTTCTTACCTTCGTCTGAGCAGATCGCTCCCCGCATCCGATACAATTATGAGAGAGCTGATAGGTTGTTTATTGGATCCTTGGGTCCCATCTCGGGCATCGTCACGAAAGCTGTCCTTGATCTGTTCATCAAGGAGCAAACTTGGTATCCGAGGCAGCGTTATTTTGACGGACCGCGCCCCAGTTCTATTGGGAGACTTATCAAGGAATCATCCAGGTATTGGGGTACTGAGCAAACAATGCTATGTAGAAATATTTGAAAAACCACGTCTGCGAAACATTATACAGTTGGTCCCCTCTCCTCGCAGTTTACCCCTGGTCCACGTCTGTAAAACGTCAGACAGTCGGTCCCTCTCCTTGCATGTCACCTCTGGTCCACGTCTGTGAAACGCCAGACAGTTGGTCCCTTCTCCTTGCAGTTCACCTCTGGTCCACGTCTGTGAAACGTCAGACAGCTGGTAACCTCTCCTTGAAGTTCACCTCTGGTCCACGTCTGTAAAACGTCAGGCAGTTGGTCCCCCTACTTGCAGGTCACCTCTGGGCTGTCAAGCTTGCACCACTTGTCACGGCCGTATCGTTACATCTGCGAGGAGATCCACCATACCAGAACAAAAAGCCAGCAACCGCCTTGTTCGACCACGTATATGTCATTTACAAGGAACACAGCAGTTTAGGTTCCGAGTAAGTGACGCGAAATCAACTGCCCAGAGATGAACTGCAGTGAGAAGGGAACGTCAGTTCGGTGTTTGTAAACTTGACGGAGATACCAGGCATTCATTTTGTATATTTTTCCAAGATCTGTTCAGACGAGCCTTTTGTAAATTGACAAGTATTGCTGAAACACCATCTGGATGTCTGTATCACGCAGCCGATGTACCTTAAGTTTTCGCCATGGCGAGCAGACCACTTGCGTTTTTCATGACCGCACCTGAAACACGATTCAACAGAACTCCATCGTCGAACAGTGCTCTATGACGACGCCCAGAATTCCTGAATGCTGTCGTGTTGTCAAAACGCATGCTACACCCAGGCTTATTTCCTGTCCGTCTCATGGGACGGCCATGGGACCATGTCCAATCACCAGCACGGCGTTTATTCGTGATCCGTCAGCGTCGACGTGCTCAGCAATTGGATTAGCCAAGAGCCCATTAATGTCCAAGGTGCCGCACTTACTTTAGCCAGATGGGGGAGACGGCGCCGACACCGGGTGTTGGCGTGAAGGTGGGCTTGACAAGCATGACGCTAAGGGCGTGTTTCGTGTGAATGGTTAATGCGCGGACAATTCGGGAGAACAACGCTACAGCGTACATATATATATATATATATATATATATATATATATATATATATATATATATATATACATATATATGTATATGAATGTGCGAACACTCCGTGGCAGCGCGCGGGAGGGATATGTTCAGGCTTTGTTTCCTATAGCGTGAACAGCTGAGCATGCTGGCGGAGCAGAGCACGAGGTGCGGAAAGACGAGTAGAGCGGGCGCGTTCTGCGAGATTTGCAGCAACGACGTGTTCACAAAAACACCAATTTCCATCCTAACATGTATTGTTCACTTGCCGACATCTTAGCTGAGTTATGCCACAATACCCGTGCTACCATAGCTGATAACTTAAGATTTCGATCACATGTAGTAATGACAAGCAATGCACAGTAGCTCAGCAGATCTTTTCGCGACGCACATCATGGCAGGCATAGGCCAGGTCAAAACCAGTAAAATGAACGACACCAAAGAGCAGAGTAAACGCACCCACGCGAGGCCATGGCGTACGGCGTGTTGAGTGGACGCCAAATGAGCTAGGCTTACAAGAACATTTCTGAGTGTCATTGTGGGGTGCTCTGAGCGCACCTCCGGCGGAAGCTGGATTTGGCAGATGACGCGCCTTTACGCTGTAAAGGAAAGCGCTAGGCGATAAAGCGCTGTAACGCGTGTCGCGTTACAGCGCCTCCAGAGCTGCGTGAGCGATTGTCTGTCTGTCTGTCTGTCTGTCTGTCTGTCTGTCTGTCTGTCTGTCTGTCTGTCTGTCTGTCTGTTTGTTTGTTTGTTTGTTTGTTTGTTTGTGTGTGTGTTTGTATGTCTGCTTCCGTGCCACATACTGATGCATCAGTAAAAAACAAAGGTCGACGTCAAGTACATAGCATAGGTGCACACGAATGACTGTCGAGGGGCCGCATGGAACGAGAAATGTGCTGCTGCTCCTGCTGTTCATTTCAGATGCCCAGCCGTTTTTAGCAGGGAAACACGAACGGCCACAACAAAGAATGAAACGTCACGAAACCACGACGCTTTAAAACGCACAGACTGCCGTCAGCGACCATCTGGAGATGTAAACAAAGTCGATCGATGCGCTACCACTGGAGATCACGTACACCGCGGCCGGGGCGAGCGGTCGCTGGAAGCCTGGGCGACACCCGGGCGTCGCTGGCATATCACAGTCGGGCACACAGCGCAGGCTGCCGAGCACCCTCACAAGCGGCCGAAAGGGCGAGACGGCACGTCCGCCACCGGCGTGTCACCGGACCGCCACCGACACGTCACCGGCGCGTCACCGGCCCGTCACCGGCACGTCAACGGCGCGTCACCGACACGTCACCGGACCGTCACCGGACCGTCACCGGACCGTCTGGTCCCCGCCGCCGTTCACAGCTCGTCGTCCGGCCGCTGGGAGCGCCGCTCCGGCTCGGGCGGGAAGGTCCAGAAGCCGGACGGCAGGCCGAGCGCGGCGCGCTCCCGTATGGCCACAGCCGTAAAGGAGGAGACGCAGTTGCCGATGAAGAAGTTGGCGCGGCCCAGCACGGCTAGGTCGGCGTGCGGGTCCGAGTCGCCGTCCGAGCCGTCCGGCTGCCCCGTCACGATCTCCAGCTGGAGACCGACACCGACGTCAGGACAGTGGCGGCAGGGCACCAGCGTCAGGACACCAGTGTCAGGACACCATTGTAAACACACAGGCGTCAGGACAGGGCGTCAGGACATCGATGTCTGGACACGGCGTCTGGAAACCGGCTCTGTAGGCGCCGAGCTCCGCAGACAACACCGAGCTACGGCGCCGGCCGAGCATTGGTAATTCAGCCCACAGAAACATCATGCTGCAAATGCAGCTGGGAGCCCACATAACATTGATTGCAAGTAGGAAAACAAATTGATGCCTTAACGGAAAACGAACGTTAAGGTTGAAATATAATACATAGGGGTACGCCTGGACATATTGTAGCGCGGTGTGAAACGAAAGAGATGCTCTCAACCGGAGCCCATGGCACGGGCCCGTAAATCATAGAGGCAAAACCGAGAAAAACAGCAAGAGAAAAGCTTTGCTTTACCGCATATCAAATCTTCACTGACGCAATTACCAGCAACACACTCCGTCCTCTGGCCGCACACCGCGCAGCATGGACTGGAGGCGGGCGGACAGGCGGGCGGGGGGGGGGGGGGGGGAGGGGCAGCGCCGCTGGACGGCGTACTCACATCAGAGTTGGCCAGGGCGCGGCGGAGCGGACCCAGCCGGTCGGGGGCGTCCGTCGCCACGTACAGCGCCACGGCCTGCACGCGCTTGACGGCCCGGCGCACCTGGCGCACGACCGTGCTCCAGGGCGGGTAGCAGAGCGCGTGCGAGAGCTTGCCGTGCTCACGCCGGTAGCCCAGACACTGAGCCGACGAGAACATGTTGCTGGCGGCGTCCCGCACGTGCTCGCACGCCTTCTCCTGCGGGGAAACGGCGATCAGGAGGGGTGCGGCGCGCGCGCAATGCAGGTAGGGTGGGCATACAGGGTGTCACTGATTACACCGGCCAATGTTCTTCACGGGAAGAACGTGGAACTACACCAGTCTCCATTGGTCCATGAGACAGCAGAGGCAGCGTTTCTACTTCCGCAAGCGACTCGTTTGTCATTTCTAAATCGGACGCAATGGCCAAGCAAGCCCACTGCGTCACATAATCTCATGCAGCACCACTGGCAAATGCGCGGACTCGTGCAGTCGTGCCCACAGCACGGGCCCGGGGAGCCGACGAAGCGGGCCACCTACCCAGTCGGAGCCGAGCCTCAGGTGGACGCCCACGTACGGTCCGACCGGCAGCCGGCTCTTGATGGCCGCGGCGCGCCGCGCCACCTTGTCCGACCACTGGAAGTGCCGCTGGAGCGCCGCGTTCTGCTCCAGCACCGGGTACGAGGCCGGCGCGCCAGCGAACGCCAACACTGCGGACGACCCGGTGTCAGCCCGCGGTCGACAGCCCACGGCGGAGCGCAATGAACAAACGTACAGCGAACAGTGCAATAGCAGTGCAGTTCGCTGCGAGCGAAATTAAAATAAAGTTCGATGCAAAACGTGTTCAGAAGTGGATAAACATGTTCCTCTTTTCAACCTTAATGCGCTAAAACGGATGCCCGCTCTTCCTGCCAGGGTGGGAGGCAGGCGACGCGATACAGCCTCAGTAGCTGAGTGCGTCGTAAAGCCCCAATGACGACGAAGGAACAACGTCTCCATCAGTACGTTATGAGCCATTTATGACACTTTTAACGAAGCCCACTAGCGGACCGCTACGTGGCTTCCCTTAGCCGGCCAGTCAGCGGTCGGCTTGGTAGCCTCTCTCACCTAGCCAGCGGTCGGCCGGGTAGCCTTTCTCACCTGGCCAGCCAGCGGTGGGCCCAGACAGCCTCCCTCACCTGACCAGCGGTCAGCCGGGTAGCCTCCCTCACCTGGCCAGCGGTCGGCCGGGTAGCCTCCCTCACTCAGCCAGTGGTGGGCCCCGACAGCCTCCCTCACCTGGCCAGCAGTCAGCCGAGTAGCATCCCTCACCTGACCAGCGGTCAGCCCGGTAGCCTCCCTCACTTGACCAGCAGTCAGCCCGGTAGCCTCCCTCACTTGACCAGCGGGCAGCCTGTGACCAGCGGTCAGCCCGGTAGCCTCCCTGACCTGGCCAGCGGTCGGCCGGGTAGCCTCCCTCACCTGGCCAGACAGCGGTCGGCAGGGTAGCCTCCCTCACCTGGCCAGCGGTCGGCCGGGTAGCCTCCCTCACCTGGCCAGCGGTCGGCCGGGTAGCCTCCCTCACCTGGCCAGCGGTCGGCCGGGTAGCATCCCTCACCTGACCAGCGGTCGGCCGGGTAGCCTCCCTCACCTGGCCAGCGGTCGGCCGGGTAGCGGTGGCGCCACCGTTCCGCCTCGCCCGGCACGTTGTGCACGTCGTAAGAGAGCGGACCATGAAGCTCGGAGCCGACGAAGTCGATCTCGTATGTGTCCCAGAAGGGGCCCGGCGGATTACCGTTCTTAGAGGCGCACGGGTCATTGGGCTTGCCGCCGAAAGACTGCCGTTTCTGGTGGCAGAACGCTGGCGGCCGGCAGCGGGTCAGACTACAGACGGAGACGAGTGGGTGGCGGTGGCGACGTCCCGCGTTAGGCGGGGAGGGGGAGGGGTAACATCGGCGAGAAGCAGGGGGCACCTGTTGATGGACCAGAACAGGAACAAAGCAGGAACGACGGATGGAGAACACTAACTGAAATAAACTTGAATTGTCCATAAAGCACAGATCTTGGTCACAAAAAACAGGACTCAATCTAATGAAATAGTAGTGCATCGACACCACACCACTTCTTTCACACATTTTTCAACATTTTGTTGTCAATCACATCACGAGATCGGATAAAACTACCCCACATGATGGTCCTGGACGCATTTCCCTCCATGCGTATTAAACGGGGCGGGTTCTTACGCAATACGAATAAACTTACAAATCCTCTTCTCTGGTGGCCAGATGGTTGGTGCAATCTCGTCCATGAACGTTTCCATGGTAATCGCAGGATGGAACCGCGCGACCGCATCAACCCGAAAGTATTCGTCAAATGGCACCTGAATCTGCAAAGGACGATACATAATTGTCAGTTGGGTCTCAAAAAGGTTAGTGAATGTGATAACAGACAGCGACTCTGAGGAGTCCGGCGCATATATCATGGTCTCTGGCACGCGTCACCAGATGGATTGTTCACAGAAGTCTGCCAAAATCCTGAGCATAAATGGTAGGAGAGAAATCATTAGGATGTAGGAATATGTCCCATTGTCAACTTCGTCCAGATTTCAAGCAATCATCCATTAGCTAGCAACCTGTTAACGACCCACTACGCACGTGCGGCGACCAGTTATGCTAAGGCGAGTCACGTTAACTTCATGAGGTAAGGAGCAAAACTGCCTTCTTTGCATCTTTGCATTTGACCATTTTATTATCAGTTCTGACTTATTGAAACCATCACTCTGTACAGGTTTGTTGGCACTTCTTTGGGAGTGTTTTGACCATTTTATTATTAGTTCTGACTTATTATCTATTTCATTCCATTTTATATTCCATATTTTTACTGTCATGAGATTACTGCCTCAACCAAAGGCTTACATCAATTTAGTTCTTCTAGAATGGAGATACACACTAGATCACCCAGGCTGCATGCTTTCAGTGTTGTATGGGATACAAAATATTGTTTGCAGACTATCAGTTCCTGTTCAGATACTCACTGACTTAGGCTGATACATACGATATTCAACCCATGGCGCCAGAACCAGCGTTCTGTTCAGGGCCTTGGCGAACCCTAAGGTGCCTAAGAAGTAGTCCATCTGATTTCCAAATCGACCTGAACAATGGTTCAAAGTTCATTACTATCTGCTCGCAGGAGAAACACATTGACATCATGATTATATATCAATCAATGGTCACATCTTGCATTTTTTGTTGTTGTTTGTTGGTGTTAAATGTTTCTGGGTTCTTCGCCAGGATTTGATGCATGGATCCACTGATGGACTGGCAATGCAGGATTGGGGTGTGGGCTAAACTAGAATTTAAAGTGACTTGACCTATCACTTGGATAAAAACTTGCTTAAACAGCAAAGCTATGCATTCCACCAGCAAAGCCATGCAAGTCTTGGGTTGGCTGATGGTGGGTATGTATGGTGGTGGGATGGTGATTAGGTGTGGTGCAACTGTGCCTCCTGCTGGTGACACCCTTTTAAACATGCTTTGTGAATGATTTTGAATCTAAATTGTACTATACTCACACAATTCTTGCAAATGAACAAAGAACAATGTAGGAGGGTGCACATAATAGCTTACAATGAAATCACCGCAGCTTCTATTTCACGAGTCCTACACATTTCATAGATGGTGCTTCCTCTTAGTTTCACTAAATGTAGGTGGAGTCACTGAACATGCTATAAGCTCCGGGGTGATGGAACACGCCTATTGCTATGCAATGAAAAATATGAGAACCATAGCATTAGTCAAAATAAATCATGAGGTTGTGTCTTATTTAGACTTAAATAACACCAATAACACTAAAATTCATAGTTCCCTTCAAGGTGTTTAAGTTGTTTGTGTCATATACTTACCCATGCATGGACAAAATAATATATAGCCATTGTCATCAATGGCTACATCCTTGGTGCTGAAGACAGTGATGAACAGGCTATTGAGAATTATCAAGCAAGTAACAGCTATGGAGCATATATCCATTGTACTTTTTCCTGTCTTCACCTTACTCTAGGCATGCCACTGTAACAGAAGTTTATTTAGGTTATCATGCTTCTTACAAACATTGACATTACATGCCTATCATGTCTAAGCAAAACATAGACAATATGACATTACCATAATTACATCATAAGCATAAAAGTATAAGTACTCATGGTAGAGTTGCCAGCAATATTGATACACAATTCATTGTTTGGCTCCAGAATAAGCATACAAAATGTGCAAATTCAGAAACTGAGACTAAGCCTTTCAAAATTTGAAGAACATACCCCATATCACAGGCACCAAAAGGTTCAAGCCTTCAACCCAGACTACAAAAGATATCACTGAACATGCATCACCCAACAGCAACATCATACCAATAGTTAAGGGGTTGTGCTTTGCAAATCTAAGCACCTTTAGTTAGGAACAGATGTGAATTGGTGAAATTTCAAGCTGTAACTGTGTATCATCTGGATGAGCATCAAACACTCAACACACATAAGCTGGTCAAGCTTTTCCTTCCTCTAAAATAACTCTTAAGTGGAAGTGGTCTCAGAGGCCTCACAACAAGAACTGCTTGGCACAGCCCCCATCCCAATGATCACAACATAAGATATAGCATTTATCTTGACACAATATAGGTCAAGCAGCAAACGGCAGGAACTTGATCTCATGCGGTAGATGCAAGCATTGCTTTGTGGGAAGTCCTGGAAAGAAAGGCGTAAATCGCTGTCTGCCTTGGTAACCATTTCCTTCAAACTTCCATGCGTTTTATGCTTGCGATGACGGTACCGCGTTTGTTGGCGCGGCAAACACAAAACACATCCCCGTCATGGTTCAAACTGGTTCAAACAATGACAGGCTGATATAGTTTTAGCCATGGTTTCACTTTATATGGACAAAAGCACGCACAAAGCCCTATCCTCCTACCGGTAACGAGACCCAATAATCGCTAGCCGGCCTGACTGGGCCTGGCACCGGCAACGCGCGCTGTGCAAATATCTTGTAACACGTGCGCTAAAACCGTTGCTGGGGAATTGTCGCGAAACCACGATTTCGCTGCCGGCTCTGCAGCTGTGATGAGTCTCGGAACCCGGGCACATTGATTTCCGTCAACCACTAGCTTTTTTACTTCAAGAGTACAATTTATATCTGTGTGTGCAACTCCGGCGATCTCAAGCAACGACGATAACCTTTGACACTGTAGCCTTCGTATGACCTTGAAACGGGCCATCACCAGCAGCGGCGCCACCAATGTTTGATGGGGGACTAGGTCGAGGTCGCAAAGACAACCTGAATAAAAAGAAACGGACAAGAAATCTTACGTTTCAAAACTGGTATTCCCGTGAATGGTCATTGTTACGCAAATTTGTCGTGTGTCTTGAGTTATACCATCGCAAGGCATTGGGGTGCGAGTACCAGGAATGGGGTCAGGGGCTGAGACAACTTTCTGAAAATTCAACATCGAACCTTCAGATGTTGACGGCAAAGAAATCATCCAAATGATTATCATCCCTCGCCAATCCCAGCGTGGCTGGACGTCCGTCGCTCCGTGCCAGCGGAAAAAAAAAACATCAAGGTGCCGTGGCTTCCCCACAGCACAGTGCATTGATCACCTAGACCGGTTGGCTATGTAGGCAACAGCATATAAACATGTGTGTGTAGTAGGAAAATAATTGCAGGGTGATATTTCATGCATTTTCACCCCGCAACTACACTATGGGTTGAACCCCATATTCCAGAGGTGTTTTGTTTGTTTATATAAAAAAATAGCACAAAGGAAGAAGCTTCCTAACGACCCGATTCTTGAGAACCACAACGTTGACATACTTCTCCCAGGTCTGCACCACCACCATAAGTGGTGCGGTCTTAAGCGCTGCCAAACCTTCTTCGATTTCTTGCGTTTAGACTGGTAACAGTACCAAAGCGTGAACTTGTAGTATCGTGGCATAGCGGATGCCCAGCGACATCTGTGATGCAGTTGGGCAACCAACGAGTCGCGGTGGCGCTACGAGCGCCATATTGTTACGAAGAGTCTGGCGCGTGGCTCGACGGGGCACACGTTTGTTTTGACCTCGGCCAATACAGAGACAGCGTTCGAGTACGAAATCTGCGCATGTTGAAGCGGCGATCACGATGTAACAGAACTGGATCGAACTGACCCAGGTGGAGGCGAACACGTGACACACTGCTGCTGCGTTGATCGTCCCCTGCGTTACCATCGCTCAAAGCAAGTTTTCAAGTCCCCGCCGCACGCTGTGATCGCGTTCAGGTGGGGCTGAACTGGCGAGCTGGGTTAAGAAGATGATCGAGTTTGACGATTTCAGGAACGGTTTCCGCGCGCCGTGACTCACATTGCAAAGAACAGACAGGGGGAGAGCGCAAGTATAGCAACTAGGGGACTGCGTTTGTCCCATTGACAGGTGGGGAGGGCGATTACCCTTGCATCTCTGGTAGCGCTGCCCCTCGGCGTCTCCGTAGGGTTAGTACGCACAGGTTCTGCCCGGCCTGGAATAAGAATGCAATGAGCATATGAGCTTGAAAAAAAATGAAGAAGTGAATGGGACTGGGTCTCTTCCAGTAGCATAAGTGACATGTTGCAATGCAATGGCCTTAACGCAAAGCACGGTTTAAGCATGTAAGCATGAATAATACTGATTGAAAACCCGTGCCCGTCTGGTGGAGGATATTTATAACCATTCAAAGCTTTTTCAAACGCACCGTTAAAATGAGCATGGAATGCCCATGCAATCTCTAATGCCATTTTCTCATGACCGTGGTCGAAATCTACCTCGCGGGGGCCAGGTGTGAAAAAGTCAAAAGGTATACAGCGTATTACGAATGTGTCTGCTTGACAATGATGCACTGAATACGGGCCCAGTTACTCAGCGGCACGCTCTGAAGCTGGATCTTGTCATCCCGCCCAGCCACAGCCGGAATAATTATTGAGAGCCTTTCCACTGCAGGTTATAAGGCCATAGATGTTTAAAGGTTAAACAAAACCAGTGAATGTACATGAAACACACAGCAAGACACTTCTGCAATATTCACCGAACCTATCTATTCCTAAACAAGTCATGAGAGTCTAACTTTTAGACTTTAACCTCAGGCTAACCTCGTCCAGTACAACGACCTGCTTTGAACTTCGAAATTTCCTTGGGTAAAAAACAGATGGTATTCGAAAAACCACATGCGATGTCGCTCCGCCCGGCCGTTTCGTTTTTTCTTTCGCCCGAAAACATTTAGAGGAAGGATTTCTGTACCCCCGCCGTCGTCGTCGTCATTAGGGCTTTACGACGCACTCGCCTGCCGCGGCTGTATGGTTTCGCCTGCCTCTCACGCTGGCAGGAAGGGCGGGCACCGCGGTGGCGTCACCCAGGCCGAGCCTGGCTGACACCTTGTCTTCATTTCAAAACGTAACTTCATCACACTAAAGTTGCTTACAAGACACTTGTTCAAAGATATGATGAAATTAATTTGAAATATACTTTAAACAACAAAATTCGTCAAAATTGTCACACAAATTGTGGTTCCTGGAGCACGAGAATGGGTAAATTGAATAGCATATACTAGCGCTGTCTTGCGTTTCAGGGCTTCTCGCAAAACAGGACGGTGAAAGTGGTCATAGTACGCGATGGTCATTGATGGAGGGCGTACAAAAATAGCAGTGGTAGGGGAGAGAAAGGGAACTGTATCAGTTTTGCTTGGAGCTCCATACTCCTATATATACTCCTACTCCTACTCCTATATATACTCCTATACTCCTAACTTCTAAGGATGGGACTAAGATTATTGTTCCTGCAGACAGCTATTACCTACAGGTCCATATGAAGCGCTTGCGAAATTACAAATATTTGCCCTTCTGATTAGTCCATGTTTGTATTGCGGCTACTGCTTCCTCTGTGGTGGCTGCTCAAGAGAGAATTATGGATCTACATAGAAAGTATAAATGCCGATTTGCTGTTAACGTGACAATAAGCTATGATGACTATTTCAGTCGATCATTGAAACTAAATCAGTAAATAAGATATTGTCGGTGTGCTGCATCAACGACATAGCATGACCCATACACAGCTGATAAACATGTACCACGCGACATCTTGGAAGAAAGCTCGCTCCACCTTGAAACACTTGGCTAGCAGGTGCCAAACCTTTTACAGCATGTACTTCACATGTATTTTCCCCCAAAACTCAGCGTAGCATTCGGATTGGTCTAGTTACACCGTAAGCCCTTAAACACACATTTACACTTAAGTTCTCAACGATGCGCATAAGGCAGATTCGTCACGCTCACTCCAAGACGCGTACGCGTGTGCGGCCGGAAGTACACTGGAAGTGGGAGTGAATTCGAGTGCGTCAGCGGAGTGACTGAAGATTGCCGTTCGTCATCAGATTTGGAATTAATCGCTTCGATACTGCTTTGGCATGATACAGCACACCCTACTCTCTCCTTTCTAGGGAATTAAGCATACTGCACTGTAGCACGCGTACCACATGTCAATATGAGACTTCACTCTCCCTTCAAAAATTGCCTTTATTCGTAGGCTGCAAGCACGTGATGATCCAGTCACCTCCAAATCCAACTTTGAAACTCAGGAACGAAAGGCGATGAATGTGTTCGGCCAGTAGGCTGATGGGGGAATATCGCCGAGCGGCCATTTGAAGTCCTAGTGGCATCGAGTCCTAATAACCGTCGTGCTGGGACGTTCAACACGCTACAAAAATGTCTAATGGTTTTCAGGACGCTTGTTTTCCATGCGTTTTATGCCCTCGTGTGCAACTTGGAGACTGTTCCATGTGACCCTGCTTACAAATATTTGCTGTGGTACAAGATCTCAATACAATAAATAGCGGCACCAAGGGTTAATAGATGCGAATGTATGCCCGCCGAAGAGCTACACCACGCCGCCTCCGTAAGTCTTTTTTTATTCGATGGCTTGAATGCCGATCAACCATATCGTTGCAAAGTAGCTGGTATGCAACGCGCGTGGCGCTGGAAAACTTTGATGACGGCTGACCGATTTGCGCTATGCTTTCGTGACTGCCGTTCTCTGCTCACTGCGGTGGTTCCGCCATCCCGTCCAATAGTTCCGCAGCGTAGTACTAATATTTTCTTTCTTGTGAGTGAGTGAGCGTCCCCTGGTGAGGCCCTGTCCGAGCGCCGAGCATATACCCGTATAGCGAGACCTGTGAGTGCTAAGCTTCGGCGAAGGACTTCAGTTCCATGTGGCTTTGTCCGACCACAACCTTCTCTTCTTGATGATAATAGCCCTGAAATGGCCTGTACTGTCGAGAGGGCTCTAATACAAACCAAACTAAAAACTTTGAGATTGAGCCCAGCTTTGCGCTTGAGATTCACTCTTTGGGCCCATTGCTTCATCCTGAATCTTTGAATGTTCTTCTTGGGACAAGCGAACTGCGGTCGTTGGCCACGGCCCATCCCGCGTTGCTCTGGCGGGTGCCCCACTGGAGCGGCCACCCGATCAGTTCGCAAACTGTTCATGAACGCAATTACCCCTCGGTTCGGTCCAACAGTGGGCAGTGATCCAGCTGTCCGATCCAAATCCAGCTTTCCGCTGAGTCTCTATCCAACGCTTGACCTCCAGTTCAACGCGCCAAGTTGGGAACACGCCATCCTGGACTGTGTGGCCCTTCCCGCAGCCTGCGCACTTAATGGTCTCTCTGTACACTCCTGAGTCAGCCGGGGACCTGCACAGCGACCGTAGCGGACTGGTCGCCTGCAAAATCGGGCATAGTAACCCTGACATCTGCTGCACCGCAGAATATACGGCACGAAGGGTCTTACCTCCAGTCTCTGGTACAGCAGTGCCACCTGCTCAGGGCGGCTCGGCCCAGCGAAAGTCCAGCAGGGCCCGTTTGAGTGGCGGCCCCTTGGTGGGAGCCGGCGAACGGCAGACACTCCGTGAGATGTCAGTGTCCGCCAGCTCTCTATCTGGCTCGTCCAATGCGCGAGGAGCAC